GGATACCTGAGTGATGAAACTATATCCATCATGAAGAATCGTACCAGAATAACTAAAAGTATGAATCAAGCACGCAATTCTAGCATGCAAAAAACTTCAGGACCATATAAATCTAAACTCTCAGAGTCTACAATTGGATTTATGAAGTTTATATTCTTATCTGGAACGCGACCTTGACATGTAACGCAACAATTAAATTTTGTTGTGGATTTTAAAAAAAATATTAATATAGTTATTCTAAAATTATTGTAGCTGATACAAGACGTAGATCTTTATCTCGACGACTTCTCGCTGAAAACGATGACAGAGTTGTTGAACTTCATGACATACGGATATAAACTAATATTGTTGGATATCATATGTACATGGTTGTGCACTGTTGTTGTTGCACTATTAGTGATTTTAGTATTTTACATGTGCACTATTTGTTTTCAATTTGAAAGCTCCACCAATTCTACATCGGCAGTATTCCAAATTGCCCCATGTATGTAGGATATTACCTTTTGTATCCAATGCTGAAATGATTACTACTTTTTGCTACATGTATGCAATTCACTTTTACAGCCTTACTCTGCATTCTAACTCAATGATCTGAGTCATCTAGGCTACATTCGGAGCTCAAAATTACTCAAAATCATAAATTATCGAGCCATTTAATTGTGATTAGATGAATATAATGCAATACTTATAATAATAAAAAAAACATTGAAATTTCAATATGATTGGTTTTGGTTTGATATTTACAAAGATGACCTTTAAATAATGAAGACCCCAAAAGTAGAAAGTTGTATCATTATACCGTTCAAGTTGTATCATTAGAGCATGTCTAGCGTAGGAGGCCTGCCAGGGCAACATGCCCCCCTATGCCAAGTTTGGACCTCCAACTTTACCAATCCCCCCAATGTAAATTGTTTATATTTTCTTCCATATTTATTTCTTGCATAATCATTTTATTTCTTGCATTTCTAAATCGTTTCTATTTTGTTGCATATTCTTTTTTTTTTCCTTGCCCTTGCCCTGGCCTTTTGGGGTGGAACCAAAAAAGGCAAAGATGCCACTATTCACGTGAATAGTGGCAGCCCTTGCCTTGTCTTAGCCTTAGCCTTTTGGGGTGGACATGCTCTTATACCATATAATGCATACCGAGCGGATCCCTCTCCTGAAACTACATGCATATATCTACATATTATGGCCACACTCCACTTCTAGGGAGTGTTTTTTGTTTTTTTTTCAAATTTCTGGATTTATATTGACAAGTTATTGAAAATCTGCATGTATGTGTATACGTATATGTGTGCGTGTGTGTGTATGTTAATTTGTTCTAATATAGTCTTATTGTGTGTGCTTGTAACACTACTTGTACAATTAAGACAGATTAGTAGGTAGTCCTGTTTGAGCTTCTTGTTCTATGGATAATCCCAATATTATTCTTTAAAGCAATTTTGCTATATATTTTGTGACTCTGTCCGATATTATACTTACCCCGCATTCTAACTCAATGATCTTAGGCATCTAGGCTACATTCGGAGATCAAAATTAGCCCGCATTCTAACTCAATTATCTGATGAAATGTGAAATTGAAACTTCATATATGTGTTTAACTTATCTGTTTAAGCACACCCAACTCATGCCAACAACATTGATTTTGAGTATACAATTTGATTCAGCTACTCATTCCTTTCTTTATTTGAATTACAGGGGTTTAATCGTCATCGTATTTTGAGTTTTTGTTTTGAAGTATTAAACAAATATTTAGTAATTTAGTAATTGGATATTATATGGATATGGTTGTGCACTATTGTTGTTGCACTATTAGTGATTTTAGTATTTTACTTGTGCACTATTTGTCTTAAATTTTGCATTGTTTGCTCTAGTTGGAGGCAAAGTTTAAACCAATTGATGTTTGTTGAAATAGCCCAAAGCTCATCGTGCTTGTTGTTGGTTGTTGGGAATAAATGGGTGAGGGTGTCATTAGGAGTATTATTGATTATTCTCTAGCAACATCTACAAGTCTTTGACAAAAAATGTAGTGATTGAACGTCCATCAAATATATAGTGAGTTTACACTTCTAGGGTTTGATCCTATAGAGAGGTGGACCATGTCGTAAAAAATTACCTATACATTACCATAATCCATTATTTGATGTCTTCACATTTTTAAAATAATTAGATTTTTCCAAACAAAGAAAAAGAATAATTATATTTTAAATAACATTTTAATTTCATACAATTTTGACGCTGTATTAAAATTTTGACTAATTTTGACTACAAACAATTGCCACCTCCAACCACCTCCATATCTCTTCGAATTTTCCCTACAAAGAGCACCACCACCATCTCCGACCACCTCCGACGCAAGGTAACTCTCTTCTTCTCTACATATCCCTTACCACACATTATTAGGGGATTTCTTCAGGCTCCTTGAGGTATTTCTATGTATTTTGTGGGTGTTACGGCTATTGTGGATTTTATGACTTTTGTGTTGCATTTGTTTGAGCTCATTTTTTTTGAGTCATTTTGATATAACCGGCTTAACTTGCTATGTTAATGAAACTTGATTTCAAAAAAAAAAAAAAAAAAAAAAAAAAAAAAAAAAAAAAAAAAAAGATTTACCACCTTTCCACTAGGAGGGGAAAGGAATGCAAGAAGGAAAGGAAACTTTTTCAAATAATTTTTTTAATACTTACACTCCCTTTTATTTTATTTTTAATATTTTTTAGGAAAAACTACATAAAACCCCTTAAACTATAGGGTCATTTTCATGTTCATATCCAACTTTAGAGACATTTACGAGTACATACTCAAACTCCCAAAAACCCCAATTTACTCCTTCCGTTAGCCAAACCGTAAATGGGGTGTTTGGATAAAGTAATTCTAATTTCCATAGAAATTGTAAATGACGGAATTTTCAATTACATCATTTAAGTCAGTTGCAAATTTCAGCGTTTGGATGTCATATATGCGGAATTTAAGAAATTACAGAAATTACAATTTCACCTGTTTGTATAGTCATCACAGAATTAGAATTTACTTTGAAGTAACAACATTTTTTTTACAACAGTCTTGTATATAAAATTTGGATATGAATAACTGGCATAGTTGAACACATTATTATTATATACATAATTAGAAAGACTTGTGCAATATGAAAATTGTCTAACAGCACATACCTCAATTGTTACTAATGTAAAGAATTGCAACTGTAGCTTGTCTAATTTAAAAAAAGCATAAATCACGTAATTAAAAAAATGAAGCTAATCATCCCAACCAATGTTTCAACAAAATAGAAAAAATTAAAGATGTCAACTGAATATAAAATGTGTCTACGCTCTCGGTGAAATAAACATAAACTCAATTCCCTTTTTTCTCTCAGTTGGAATTGTCTTTAACATGAGAAACTGTTTCTCATTTTCTATAAACCAAGAGCATGCCTTTAGTTGTTCATCTGGACTAAGATCTAGAATTGCAATGACTTCATTATATACTTATGTTGGATCAAGCTTTTGTGTAGTAGAATTGATAAGGTGTTCCAAAGATGAAGCCATCTTAGCCACTGAATCAGCAAGAATATTAGTTGTACCTCTTTTTTTTGGTGGAGGAATATCAGAAGGATTTTGATTTCTTCTCTTTGGACAACTAGAGTCGGGTGAAACATCATCAACCTAATAACTCTCAAAACCTTGAGTATCACTTTCCAAATCAACAATATTATTGGGATCACTCTCAGGAGTCATAATCTCAACAGCTTCTGCACATGTTTCAGCACCCTCTCCAGTAGCTTTATATTTGCCACATAAATCCACTATATCATCCCAGTTTGCAATCACTTTAAATCGAAAAGTTCTAGCATCTTCATGAGACTATCAAGCAAAAAAATCAAAGTTAACCATTTATTTACCACAATTTTAGTCGCACAAAAAGATATAATTGCATTATAAATTACCTTCACGTACTCATCCTAAACATTGTCTTCATCTACACTGATCATCTTCTTTGTTGCATCCCAATTGAATCCACTCTGACTTAATATATCACTTACTATACCATAAAACCTTTTCCATGTTTTAACACGATTTCTTATGTTATCAGCACTTACTTTAATATCAAATTGTGCAGATAATAAGGCAACATCTATGTTATAAGCTACTGCTTTCCAACCACCATCTCCTTTGTGACCGACTTGACGTTCTTCTCTAAGTATATCCGCTATGAATGCTCCATTTGTATATTCCATCGAAAATAGGCTTTGTCATCTCCTTCATTGTCATTAATTTGTTCGTCTTTTCTTCTCCTCTACTTTATTTTGTTTACTTTTTCTGCCATCTTATGTATTTAAAATGATTATAACAACAATATTAATAAATATGATCAACATATATTTGCATAAAAAAATTATCAACATATATAACAAAATAGACACATAAAGCTGAATAATAAGAAAAAAAAACGATCAATAAAGAAGAGTACACATTGATTAAAACTGATATATAAAATTTAAAAAAACATGATTCAAATGTTTACAATTCCATACATAAATTTAACTTGAGACAATTCCAACTCAATTAATATATAATGACTGAAAATCATGAATTAGTGGCGCCTCGTGCTTGATAATCAAGAAACATCTGCATTGCTAATGTGTCAATGTGTCACGAAAAGTAGTCCATTGATTAGTGACTTGAACACTTGTAATCGTATTTGCGTTACCCTCTACTGTAGAATGATTTGATATATCATGATCCACAGAAGCTAAAAACTTCATATCTTGATCTTGTAACACATGGTCATTGTGTTGCTCAATTCGAATGAAGTTATGCAACACAAAGCATGCATTTATAATCCTAGTTTGTGTTTTTATGTTGAAAATCAAGGTGTACGTAGTATACTACATCGCTTTTTCAACAACCCAAATGACCTTTCAATTATGTTCCTTGCAATTGAATGGCCCAAGTTAAATAACTCTTTGTAATTTTCAGGATGATTGTTTCCAGTCCATTCATTTAAGTGATATCTAGTTCCTCAATAAAGTGCTTCAAAATCAGGTTCATTAGCATATTCGACATCCACAAGATAGTACTTATCTACAATATAAAAAGTTTAAAAGAAAAGTTAGTTATTTATAACTAAGTTTTTTATTATTTAACAACTAGTATAAAAAATTACCACTTGGAACTTGAAACAAATTATCCCTGGCCAAAGCTTCTCGTAGAACACGAGAATCAGAAGCAGAACCCTCCCATCCAGATAGTACATAGATGAATTTTAGATATGGATCACAAACTCCTAAAACATTGGTGGAAATATCGCCCTTTCTATTTCGATATCTTGGTCTATCCTCAGTAGACACTGTTACTGGAATGTGAGTTCCATCAAGTGCCCCAATACAATTCTAATGACATAGAAGAAGAAAAAACAAAAATAATTTTAAGATAAGTGGTAACATTATAACAAGAACATAGTTTTCCTAAAGTTATAAGATTACCCCAAACCACTTCCACTTGTCTTTTTATGAACCACCAATATCACATGGCTGAAGTTTCAAATATTCTTGACTAATTCTCATCATTGCACGCAACACACTATTAAATTGCCGACTAATGGTTTCCTTAGAACGATAATAGTCAAAACCAATGACCATAAACTTCAAGTTATGAGCAAGTATATTTAAAAAGGTAGCAACAGATTCTTCAATTGAAACATTTCTTGTCCGAGCCAATTCATCATTTTCATGCAAAATAGTACACAAACTTTGAAATTCTTTCTTGCTAACTTGTAGTTGTTCAATACAATCAACTTCCTTCCCATTATACAAATTATTCAAGCGACATCGCCTTTCTTCATCCCAATCACGTGAAGGCTCTTTAACCAAATAATTTTCATTATACCATGATCCAACAATGGCAATGATACATGTAATGGTACTAAGAATAATTGTCATTTTCTTCTTATTTTCTTCTTCGTCTCTAGCATGCTTGCGACTTACATGGGCCAAAAAGTTATCTACATCATCACTAGCCATGCATGTTTATATATGTATAATTTTATTATGTAAGTAATCTACTTCACCTATAAAAAAATATGACTCAAGATCAACACATGTAAAAAAAGAGGCTAGCAAGATACCAAAAAGGAAACAAACCTGTCAACATCCTCATATCCCCGTGCATAAAAAGTTATGACTAAATTAGACTAAAGACTAATTAAATAAATATGAATGACCAAAGTAAGCCTAGGGATTACATGATCCACACAATTCTATGATATCAAACCTGACAAGAAAATAAAACCAAATGCATTGCAGTCTTTTTACAAAGACACTTGCAACTGGATAACATGTCCTTACACATATGCAATTGTAAAGTGAATGAGGGTGTGCAGAGGTGCATCCATTTAGCTTTCCAAAAGAGAAGCACTCTCATTACTTAACTAGGAAGAAATTCATATCATATCAAATACAGAAAATTTAGTCATTGTGGGTATTGGACACTGATTAGAACACAACTCAACTATAGAGATCTAATAAAAGTACATGTTACAGCTAAAAATGGCAAACCATGCCAAAAGCCCAGAAGTAACAAAAGACATCAGAGAAGAACACAAACAACTAAAACAATTAAAAATAAAGAACCAAAACCAAAGGAACAAAACAAAGTCCAAAGTCTGCATTTGGTAAGTCCATGCATGGGAAATGGTTATTTGGCATATAGGAAAGTGAGGGGGAAAGTGAAACCCTCCTCTCAACTTGGGTTTTGTTTTTCCTCCTCATGGGAAAGTTTTGAAAAATGAGTCAACATTAAATGCACATTTTTTATGATCATTTTGTCCCCATTAATGATTTAGAATTACAATATATCATTATTTTTTTTTAAATTTGATTTAATATGGGTATTATTGAAAAACTATACAAACTTTATTTTTCATTCCTATTCAAAACAAATATGAGAAAGAAAATATAGTAATATCTCCCGACGTTACCAAACGGCCCGTATAGTATTTCTTTTTTGTCGAAGTATTTTTAAGAGTAATTTGAAAAAGGCCAGTTGAAAATGGCGCATAACTTTAGAACAGTACCATAGAGAGACTAGAGTCCCCTACTCAATACTCGCCACACCTCCGTCTCCGTGGTGTCGTCGACTCGTCGAGCATGGCTTGGGATTTGATCTATTGGCTTATCTGCTTCTGCATCGACCTTGCCCTCTTCGCCTCAAGCCTTTACCAGGTATTTTATCATTAATCTCTAAAACCTTAATAATGACGCCACTTTTAAACCCTAGCACCGTTGCTTCTCCTTTTTCTTAATTTTTCTTTTCTTGGGCCTTTTGGCTTTGTTTTGTTAACGCGGGAACGAAGAGCTTTACCGAGATCTGTAAGGTACTTGCGCTGAATTTTCATGGGCAAATGGACATTTTTGAGGGTTTTGAAACTTTCCGTCTTAGTTTTCTACTGGTTTCTCTGTTTTGCTAATCAATGGCTCTGTTTTTCTTTTTAGTTTTAGAGCTAGAGTTTAGACAACTTGACCATATTGCATAAGGAGACTGCCTCACATTACTAGTTATTAATATGAATAAATACGGACAAAATCAGTGGAAAATTTATGATACAGTAGAAGAAATTCTTTTTTGTATTTGTGGGTTGGAGCACTGGGGTTGTGTGAATTCAATTTATGCTGCCTATTGTAAAAAAATGTTGATGATTATGCTGAACTAGTTCTTTTTTTCTACAATGAGCTCATAAGGATATGTTGTTCTTATGTTGCTAGTTTCGTTCTCATAGCCTGAATTTTCCGTAGCATAGTTGCTTGTACTTGGCAGCATTAATGTAATTCATATTTATGTTGAAGTGAAACACCACTAACTTTAATTTTTCTTCTCATATGTATTTTGTAGTATGTGATGCTAACGGACTTGGAGGCTGACTATATCAACCCTTACGAATTATCATCTCGCATCAATCAATTGGTTGTCCCTGAGTTTGTAGTGCATATAGTCTTCTGTGCACTTTTCCTCTTGACACAGCATTGGTTCATGTTCCTGATTACAGTCCCCATTACTTGCTATATTGTGATGTTGTAAGTGTTACTTGTCATTTAAATATGCAAATGATTGCAATAGATTGTTAAAATTATGCAATGCTATTTCTCAATATAATGCTTCTGATACAATTTGGTTAACTCATATGAATGCACATGGGAATGATAATCAAGATCTAGTTAACTTTTTGAACATGATTGGAATTCTTCCATTTTTAAATTGTGACAAATAGCCTTACTAGGCTTATGAGGATCCATTCACTAAGCCTATCTTGCTTATGAGAAGCTTAGGTGTTTAAAACTAGAAGTAGCATGTAACTATAGACTAAAACATAGATTACTTCTATGATCGAATTAAGGTAACAACTTCTGTCCTAAATAGTAACCAGCCATTGCAATATTATGCCTTTGAGAATGTGGTTGAACTGCATTGCTTTTCTTTTGAATTCAATAATCAGCTGATTTGACATACTTTATTTGACACTATTTACCATCAATAAAGTCACTGTTATATTTTAAAGTTCTTTTGGAAAGAGCACAGGGATGATGACCAGAAGGACTTATGTTACTTTTAACTTGCCTATTTATTTTCATTATCTGCCCTCTTCACATCGGCATGATGTGATCTGTGGATGACCATTTAGAAGAATGAATGAAACTCTATAGCCTTTGCTCTTTCCTTTAAAATTCATTGATCTCATATCTGGAAATTTTGATTGGATTGATGTATTTAATTTCACAAAATGATAACAAAAAAGCCAAAGCCATTATCATTGTTCCTCTCCACAGATTTCCTGTCCTAATAGTAGGAATTTTGGTATGTGTATCCACGTATACACACTAAAATATATTTGGGAAACATCTCTTCTGCTACATGCTATTAGCAGTGACAACTTGGGACGGTTTTTGGTTTTTGGTCTTGTGATGATTATAACTTTTGATCTGCTGTTGTAGTTAAAACGAGTGGTCAAACACGAAAGAATGGAAATAATTGATTGACCCACTACAAATTCACTTTCGTTTTGGCTTATAGTTCATCATATTACATGTGTGCCCATATGCATGTCTTGGAGTGTTGGTACATTTGTGTTGGGGCTGGGTTGAACTTGCATTCCTGACTGCATAACCATCCTGTTCCTATAATTCAGGTTTGTAAAACAGCAGCATCTTATTGATGTCACTGAAGTCTTCAGGGTTCTTAATACTGAGAAGAAGTGCCGGCTTGTCAAACTTGGTTTTTACTTTTCTCTCCTCGCTATTATCATTGTCAGGTTTGTTCTTTACTGTATAAATAGACAGGTCTTTGTTATTATCTGTAGTGGAATGAATTTTGCTCTTTGCTTGATCTATTATTTCATTATTTCTAATTAAGTGTTTCTTGCTGTTTGGGTATAGACTTGCCATCTCTGGAATATTATTTCCGAGGTCCGGATCTGAAGAATTTGACCTTCGTGCCTCTTTTCTAGAATTCTAGAACCAACGCTTTGTAATCTAGTTTGAATAATATTCCTAAACCCCGTATCTTTCACTTATTTGAGATAGTTTAGCACCTGATAACATGAAGGATTAACTTATTCCTCTGTTTATATTAGCTTGCAAAAATTTCTCAACTGAGTTTTCTCTATTTCTTTTATCATGATATTGATTACTTTTACAAGTTGCTCTATATATAGTGGTGATGTGTTTAAGATTTCTTGATGACCCCGCAACCATGGTATCTAGTTTCATTATCTTTTACTTGAATGTATTGACTTCTACCAAGAACTTGATCATCTCCCTGGACAAAAAAGAAAGGACATTAAGCTTCTGAAATGTGATAAGCACCCATTAGTGAATGTGTCTTATTCAACACACAGGATTCCTTGTTATCAATCAAATTGTAATAAACACCTCTTTACAATAGGTTGTCTTTCAAGAGCCTGAATCAAATATTTTAATAATCTGATTTACATCAAATAAAGGAGAATACTTGCTTATTGATGAAATTGTGAATAATTTTGTATAAGCAGTATGCAAAGTTCACTAAAACTCGATGCACACTTGCTTTCATTCCTTTCATTTTGCATCTAACTTTCTTCACTTGGTGAAATTATTTATATTTCATTGTTCATTAGAGGAATTTATTTTTCAAAGATAAGAAGGGTTTTCTTAAATAATGTCAATGAGGACATCACACAGCTATGCTCTTAAAAGAGAGAGAGAGAGAGAGAGAGAGAGAGAGAGAGAGAGAGAGAGAGAGAGTTTTCTTTGTCCACTCAAAAGCGCCATCCAAAAATTGGTGCTCCTTTAGGAATGTTCTACCCCTTCAAAAAGCTCTACTGTTTTGTTTGTGCCATAAGCACCAAAAGATACTCAACATCTTGAAATTGATTTTGTTAAGCCTTCTATTTTCTTTCTTCATCAATTTATCTGGAGGCAACATTTGTGGTCAGTAGTTGCTTCTCTTGCCTCCCTCAGTGACTTATCGTTATCGAATGCTGATAACAAATCCTAATTTGCAGGATTACAATAGCTGCTTTCAACTCTTTGACTAGTGAGGAACATGCTGTGAATATATTTTGATTGCTCACTGCCTGACAGTTATATAAAAGCCATTCATTGTAAGTTCGTTTTCCATGTTTGTTATCTGTATTACTAAAAGGTGAATTCTAGCTCAGGGGAATAGTCAATCTAGAGCTCAAACGGTAGAATGATTCAGTGAACAGCCATTCCCCTTTGTTGTTTTGATATCTGAAGTATTCCTCGTGACTAATAGATATGAGAAATCCTTGTAGATTGTACCCTTTTTTCTTTTTTTTTTTCCGATCAAAGTAGATTGAACCTTTATATTCGGGATTAATGGTGTAGTTGTTAATTCAATTGTCTTGAGTACTTTAATCATGACCCAGGTTCAGATATGTCATTTAATGTTTAATGGCTTTAAAAGTATATCCATGTTCATCCATTCATTATCTACCCTAATAGAGTGAGTGTTCTCTATGAAATGCTTCATGCTAAGGTGTAGTCACAGATGTAGAATCTTTTATGGTCAGTCTTTGCATCTAAAAAATGGTACAAAACACATTTCTGTGTGTGAAGAAAATGACCGCAGAACCTGGCTTCCAACACTCCTAGTTCATAGGACACCCTAGTGTCAAATCATGCACCATTGCTATCCTTGCTGCCATATTAGTGAATGTTTGAACTTTTAAGTTTTGTGTTCAGCTAAATGTTGAACTTATATCTATTGTAAATGCATCTTTCTTCCTCTTTTAACCACCCTACAACTCTAGGCGCTGTAATGCGAGAAAAACTTCTCTATCACCGGTTGCACCTAAGATTTTCTCATGTAATGCAGAGAAAACTCTGTGCTTGTAATTCTAGGTTCTAGGTTGAAATAGCCTATGTGATATTTTAGAGGGCTACCATGATTAATGATTTGGGCTTTAGTTGTTAGACCCAAACTTTGATGTATTAGGGCTTTCAGAGATTGCTAGATATTTCTAGAGCGTCCAGGCCAGCTGAAATTGGCAAAGTTGGAAGGCTCCATACCAAACTGAGCTCCGAAATGACAAACGCATCAAAATGGGCCCCATGTCCTCCACTCAACAGCTTGACAGACCAGACATACTGTAGGCAGCTTGACAAGAGCCTGCCTTTCTTTGTACAATCAAAAGATACTAATAATGTATTGATTAGGCCCACCTAAAAACACCATCAAGTCCAGTGGGCTCCTTATTCTCAGTGGGCTCCACCCTGATGGGATATTTTTAACCGCGGATTATATAGTACCCTACACCGCATTGGTCCGTGACTTTTTGCATGTTGGGTCCTTTTCGGGCCCTAGAGTTGTCTTCCTGTTTTTGAACTGGGCCCAGCATCATTAAGGCCTATTTTGAGCTACAGAAAAGTAGGTCTTAATCAGGATGGTCAGTGGTCACCATCAAGTGGGCCCGTCAGCTGGACAACATCTGACCGTCCGATGTACCAGCCCTGTGTTCTTGCTAATTTACCCAAAAGGACTGTTTGGGTAACTGAAAGAAACGTATGTGGAGCCAAAGTCATGTGCTGTCTTCTAGCTGTTGGGGAAAAATATTTCCACAAGCTTTTGCTTACATGCTTCCATGTGTTGAGATATGGGCTTCAACGCTGACCTCTGACATAAAATGAACTCACTTTTAGATTCACAAGCTGCACTTGAAGATTTGTTTGGTTCATTGTTTTTCGTGATCGCAAAATTTCCAAGGTAAAGGGATGAAAAGTAATTTGAATTGTCTTAGAAATTCTTCAGAAACAATTCTCAGCCCTTTTCTCTTTTTCCTCTCTTTCCAAACCAATGCAGAGTGCATTTGTGCATGTTAGATTGATTTTGCATTTGTAGTTGTGCATATCTTTTTTTTTATACAAGCGATATTCAATTTTAAACTAATCTAAACCACGGGAAGGGGCATTCGAATTCGAGTGCATAGTGGGGAGCACATCTGCTTTAGCCAACTAGCATATTGAAAATTACGGATCATGGAATTTACCCAATTTATTTGGCATTTATGATTTATGTGAGATGGTTCTGGACTATAGTATTCCATCCATCAACAACCTCATAATATCCACACCATCTAGGGTTATGTTATCCAAGTATTTAATGGTCATGTCTTGGTTGTTGCTTGCTATCACCTTCAGTATGGCCTTTAGATTTTGTGCATCTCGTGCATTGCACCTTTCATTGTGTAGGCCTTGTTTCTTTGCTCTTTGAAAATCACTTTCAATGTTGCATTTATGTTATTTCCATTAGTAAAATTCGAATTTACTGCAGCAAAGCAGTTTATGATTCACCTTATTCTGTGGTATGCTTATGATGGAGACATTTTTACAAGTGCTCTTAGACTTACATGCCTTTTGGATTGGGGTTATGGGTTATTTCATTCAAGAACCCCAACCACCAGGGGGGCAGCCCCCACTTGAATTAGGCACTCGTACGTTTTTGTGGCATACGGTGTTTTGTAATTGGATGGTAGAGTTAGAGCAATTCATTTTTTGGTAGACATGTTATGTTGTCTGGCTATTTTTTGAATCATTGATGAGACAAGTTATATCTTTGAATTTGTGCTTGCGATTCACAGCCTACAGTAGGGTTTAGACTCAGTATGGTTTCTATAGGAAATGTTGTAGACCTGATTTACAACTTTTATTTTTTTTTGTCAAAGTTTTGAAGGGGAGGGGAGGGGAGGGGAGGTGTCGTTAGGGTTCGAACCTGAGACCATTGATATGCAGGTAAATGCTCTTATAACTGAGCTATGGACCCGTTGGCAGACATGTTTTAGAACTAGCACAAAGAAAACTTGTGTTCCTACCAAGTGTGAATGATGCAGGCAATCTTCCTCTAATCTAAGTCAGAAAATACATTCAAAATTGTCAAATAAATGCTGCTCTAAATAGGCCTTCAGAGGGCCATCTTCACGTGGACTTCACACGGATGAATGCCCAGTGAGGTGGACATTCTCGTGCCTTTTAGCATCATTTTTCCATCTTTCATATGTGGTTGCTTTCAAAATCTTCTGTGGTCCAAACCCCAAAATTCCAAATGCAAACCTTTTTGTCAAATTTGGTCAACTTTTCCACGCCATCTGCAAATCAATGTCAACAATCTATCTAATTCCAAATGCCAATTGTCCCCCTTTTCATTTTGTTTCTTAATGAGTTGTTCTTTCCCAATTGTCTCTGGGGTGTGGAAGCGACCATAGATATTGAGTCAACTGAGCAATTTATCATTATGGGTGAAAAATATACATACTCATGTGAAGACCATGCATAGAGTGCCAGAAACAATTTTTCTTTTTCTTTTTGAACGTTGCAAGTATTAAGACGAAGAAAGCTTTATTAGTGTTGTGGTGTAGTACAAACTAGTGGTTGTTATGAATCTATAACTTATAGGGATAAGCACCTCTTATGTGCTTCTCCATATAATCACTTTAAGTGATTTTAAATGATTCTGGGTAGAAGCATCTTTCATGTGCTTCTCCATAAAATCACTTGAAACCACTTCAAGTGATTCTCCATAGAAGTGTTTTTTGCCCTATTTAAAATCACTTTCAAACAAGCCCATAATATTTACGTGTAATATAAGTTTACATTTTGTACATTTGTATATGTTGAGTCAGTCCTCTAGTATGTCTGCCCTTATTTGAAAAATAAAAGTAAAAATGCACGCATCTTTTCTAGGGCTCTACTCTACAACGTAGTTCAACAATTGGAAATATCTATATTTTGGGTTTTCCTTTAATGGTCAATTGAAAAGAAAATGCTAATAACCAAATTAGTAAACTATTTCACTTTGCCCCGTTTTTTACATTGATATTCCTTGAAAAATAAATAAATAAATCACAATTATAACTTCGGTTTCATCTTGTTAGAGATGTATGCCAAATTTTATAATTTTATAATTTATTGAATATATCAAAACAATTACTTTTGAGATTCGTTAATAAAAGAATGAAG